TGTCCGAAATCACCGAAAATGTCGTTTTTTGAAATATTGCCGTAATATTAACAATAATCATTGGATTTTAGCATATGATGCATTTTGACATAGCCAGAAACAGGGGACATAGCTATGTTACTTTTGATTTTTGATTTTCGACAAATCTTGGAAGATATTAGGCGCCAAATTTTGAAAATTTAAATTTTTACAAAAAACTTTTTTATTTATTAATATTTTTATATGACATTTTAACCAAGGTTAAAGAGTCGTCTGATTTGAACAAAAATGTCAACATTTTTTGTTTCCGTAATTGTCCTTGGCCGCCATTGGCTAATTCAGTTTTTCAGTCCTACATTAATTATTTATTGTTCGATTTGTATAAAACCTAGTTCATATGTTCCGTGGTTCAAAATGTCATTTTTTTTTGTTACCGGTAAAGTTTCCTGTCGGAACCGGAAGACGCGTAAATTTAGCAAAAACTACAATATTGACAGTTCGGTACCACTTTTTGAAAGCAAATATTATTTTTTACAAATCTGATATTATCCAAAAGATGCGCACTGTTAAGGTGCACAAAATCTCGGACTCAGTTTTTTTAATTTCGATTTCGTTTTCTGGCCATTTCGATTAAAAGGTAAAAAAGGGGTAAAAATAAGCTATTTACAACCCATCCAGCGCCCATATATATTAAAATATTTCTTTGATACGTTCATAAACTTGTAGAAATAACCCATACGAAGAGAATGTATGTGAAAAATAGTTTGTGATATGAGCAGTTGCCGAGAAATGGGCAATTTTGCATGAGTCACTTTTTACGCTAGTTTGCCTGTAAAAGAGTCAATCATTACACCATTTGGTGCGTAATGTCAATTTTAACTAGGTCAAACCAATTCAACATTACCAATATCACCGGAAATTACGTAATTTGGGCAAAAACCGTATTTATAGCCTTCGAAACAAATAATTTATTCAAATGAGTTGTATTTGTTATTCGTTTAAAATTTTGATATTTGATTCCAATCAACTAATAGAATGAACCCATACGATCATATAGATATCACAAATTCCTTTCTAACTTGGTCAGTTGCGGAGAAATAGACGATTTTGAACAGGTCACTTTTCAAGGTTTTTGGACCATACAACTGTCAATTATTATTCGATTTTCATAAAATTTTCACTGTTTGATACCTTTTACCAATTATGATTTCATACAAGTAATTTAAGATTTTCATTATCACCGGAAGTAACGTCAATTTGGCAAAAACTGTATTTGTAGCCTTCAAAACAGATATTTTGGTCAAATGAGTCTGATTTGTAATGTTTTTACGATTATGATTTTTGATTCCGCTCAACAAATATTGCAGTAATTTTAACAATAATCATTGGATTTTAACTTTCGATGCATTTTGGCATAGCCGGAGACGGGGCACATAGCTACGCTACTTTTGATTTTTGATTTTCGGCAAATCTTCGCAGATATTAGGCGCTAAATTAAGAAAATTTAAATTTTTACAAAAAACTTTTTTATTTATGAATATTTTTTAGTCGTGTTTTACACAAATATAACGAGTCCTCTGACTTGGGCAAAAATGTGAAAAAATTTTGTCTCGGTAATTTTCCTTGGTCCCCATTGGCTAATTCAGTTTTTCAGTCCTAGATTAATTATTTATTGTTCGATTTGTATAAAACAAAGTTCATATGCTCCGTTGTCTCAATTGTCATTTTTTTTGTTACCAATAGTGTTATCTGTCGGCACCGGAAGTGGCGTAAATTGACAAAAAACTACAATTTTGACAGTTAGATACCATTTTTCGAAAGCAAATATTATTTTTTTCAAATCTGGTATAACTGAAATTGTGCGCCCTTTAAAGGCGCACAAAATGTTGGGACCAGTTTTTTTAATTTCGATTCCGTTTTCGGGCTATTTCGATTAAAAGGTGAAAAAAGGTGTAAAATTAAGCTATTTACAACCCATCCAGCAATTTCATATTTTAAAATATTACTTCGTAACTTTCATAAACTCGTAGCAATAATCTATACGGAGAGAATGTATGTGAAAATTAATTTGTAATATGCGCAGTTGCCGAGAAATGGGCAATTTTGCATGAGTCACTTTTTACGCTAGTTTGCCTGTAAAAGAGTCAATTATTATTCGATTTTCATAAAAGTGACACCATTTGATGTGTAATGTCAATTTTAACTAGGTCAAACCAATTTAACATTTTCAATATCACCGGAAATGACGTAATTTGGGCAAAAATTGTATTTATAGCCTTCGAAACCAGTAATTTATTCAAATGAGTCATATTTGTTATTTGTTTAAAATTTTGATATTTGATTCAAATGAACTAATACAATGAACCCTTACGATCATATAGATATCACAAAATGGTTTCTAACTTGTTCAGTTGCGGAGAAATAGGCAATTTTCAACAGGTCACTTTTTAAGGTTTTTTGTCAATAAAAGTGTCAATTATTATTCGATTTTCATGAAATTTTCACTGTGTGATACATAATGCCATTTACGATTTCATACAAGTAATTTAAGATTTTCATTATCACCGGAAGTAACGTCATTTTGGCAAAAACTGTATTTTTAGCCTTCAAAACAGATATTTTATTCAAATGAAACAGATTTATAATGTTTTTAAAATTATGATATTTGATTCCAATCAACAAATAGAATGAACTAATTCGATCATACAGATACCTCAAAATGGTTTCTAACTTGTACGGTTGCAGAGAAATAGGCGATTTTCTACAAGTTATTTTTCAAGGTTTTTGGTCTATAAAGGTGGCAATTATTATAGGATTTACATAAAATTTTCACCATGTGATGATGCTATTTCTGATTTCATAAACAGATTTAACATTTTCATTATCACCGGAAGTAATGTAATTTTGACAGGATCACTGACATGTAGCAAATGAATTGATTGCTGCATTTGGTTGTTTCTGCGTCCATTTTATTTCATGTGTGCAATGCTTATGTGGAAACCTGTTTAACGGTTTCATTGGTACCGGAAGTGACATAAGTTCAAGGGTAACGTGGCACCGGTGAAACCCGTCATTACTGCTTCGCAGTTCTAGTTATATTTTATCATTGCTTGAAAATGACTTAGAGAAGCCTAGTCGAAACGTCGCTCAGTAATAAGCAGTAATTGTATTCCATCTGTATAAACTTATATAAGGGCGTTCACCAAAAACTGTCGCAAGGAATTGCAGGTTTATATAGTAAGATTGATTCAAACATGAGTGGAAACTAGACCCGTTAATTTATCAATGAAACACCTATTCTTACGTCCCCTCTAACAGTTCTATACTCAGTTTAAAAGCTGTTTCAAGTATTTCAAGTACAACCACATATATTATACTTATCGCAGTGTTTCAAGTATTCCATGTCTTTCATACACCTCGCCCCCCCCCCCCCACCTATTCCCCCGATGATAGGATTATCGGTCGGCCCCAACTCCCTGGTTGAAGAGTTATCAAAGGCATCATTACTACGGTACATGGTTTGAGTGTTTTAACTACCCGATCGTTTATTACGGTTTATCTAAAATCCGGTTGTTAATTGGGGCATTTTTACTATCGGGTAGAGTAGACGGATTGTCTAGGTGTGTTCTCCTAAATTGAAAAGAAGATAGGCTCTGTCCAATGAATAATAGTGATAGTCCAGTGCGATGCGCCCGGGCCCGCTTCAGAGACTTCATCTTAGAAAATTTTGAAAAATCGATGCCATTTTGGGTAAAAAAAAAAATCATGTTTGTTATCTTGAAAAAAGTCTTGTTTTTAAGTGGTAGATTTTTCGTCCATTGCAGTGCAGTACGAGATCAAAATTGACCGATTTTTGTCAAAAATTGCGTTGAAAAACTTAGATGTTGAATGATCGGGACGGGTTACGAGTCGGAGCAAAAGCAGATCACTGACTGCGCTTGTAAGGTTGATGAAGTCCGTTCTACCCTCACTATGATAAAAAACAAACAAACAAAAAACGACCACTCAAGAATGAGGATGCATGGCGAAGCATTATTACTGTTACAATTTACATATGACATGAAAATAGCAAGCCTACCCGGACCTACCCTGTTGTGGGAGAAAAAATAACTACCCGGGCCTACCCTCCAAAACACCCCTGGGATTGTCGTAGCAACTTGACCACTCGTGGTCCGACTTTTCGTTGTAATTTTACCACCCAGTCTCCGACGTTTCGTTACAATACACTACCCGATCGGGTTGTAAGAGTGGCTATATACTACAGGACAAAAAAACCTGGGAATTATGAAATATAAGACAAAGCAAATAAATGGGAGAGAAAGTTGCGCTGTTAAATTAATAAAAGGGAGGGAACTCTTGTTTTCAACCCCCGCTTTTACATTTCGATGATTTTACAGAGAAATACTGACTTGCTATTATTTACACCTATTTTATTTTATTTTTTTATTTTTTGGAACCTAATTGCGCTTCTGGAAGTGATTCGATGACTTCTACTATTTAATTATCCGGTTTTAGTTTTCCTTTTAAAATCGCGATAAAATTGTTACCGCAGGCGCAGTCATTGGCAGTCACGGAATCACACTTCCGGTAAAGTAAAAGTAGAAGCAACACGTTTTTGACATCAAGCAAGTTTGAGGAAATATAGGTTGTATTAGTACACTGACATTGAATTTCACAACGGCTCTGTTTGGGTGTTATATTAGTTAAAATTGCATGTCACTTTCATAGAGTAGGGCTTTTTTTTTTGAAGGTGTGGAGTAGAAACAATAATACGGTATATCGTCAATAAACAATGATTGAAATAATTGAATGAATGATACCGGTAATGGCATTATTATTGTCGGTTTTCTCGGTATATGACTATATGAGTAGTATTAGTAGTTGAATATTGTAGATATTGTTGCTGGATACCATATTCTGCACAGCTAGAATAACCAGATACATTAATATTGCTAGTGCTTCTCTAATCTCAAGTGTATAAACAGTGGCTATATTAACTCATAACTGTTAGTGAGATATTGGTCAGTGAGAATCAATTCGGTGATAGTTTATTTTATTTACCTAATATAGATCTAATTGTTCTGTTTGGTAATATTTGACTATACAATTCAGAAATATGTCTGCTGCGCCACCATTTTGCCATCTTAAAAAGCTGAATAAGTTACGTGTGCTTCCAAGTTTGGCGGAATGTCAGAAGACTGAATTATTAAGTCGTTACCGGTACCAGAAAAACACTGGATTATCTGGATTCGCAATAAATCAACTTCAGCTGAGGTTCATCAAAAGTTTTAATAAAGCAAAAGAAGATAATGACATTAATCAGTTTCACTCAAAGACAAAAATTTTTAACGCATTATATTCCGCCATAACACCTTTCTCTTTCACTAAAAGAAGTCTACATACAAGTCATTTATCTAGAATGGCATATCAATCTGCAAACAAAACTTTTCATGCAGTGGCCCTGAATTTAACCCAAACACATCCTTCACAAAATATAACTCGCCGTAAAGTGAGTTTGCCAGTTATAAGACACTTCCACTCAACTGAACAGAATTTTGACAAGGCAGCAGATAGCTATGTAAATCCTATCGATAGTCTGCAGGAGCATGTAGAAGTTCCGCTTCTACCAGCAGAGAATATTTTATTTAATCCTAGTTTAGAAGAGATGAAAGCCTCAGAAGAAATATTTGTACCTAAAGTTATTCATCCTATACAACATCTTAAAAGTGTTGTTAAACTTGATCGCCTACCAGAGCTGCCACAACCAGAGGTTAGTTTGTGTGAGAGAGAGAGACAGAGAGAGAGAGGGAGAGGGGAGGGTGGGGTTTAAGGTCACAACCAGAGCTGTCACAACCAGAGCTGCCACAACCAGAGGTTAGTTTGTGTGTGAAGGAGAGAGAGAGAGGGAGAGAGAGGTTTATCCACTCAATACAAACTAGGTCATTTTGGGACTAATAGAAAATTGCCATGAGGTTAGACAATGACAAACCTTATGATCTAAAGTACATGAGCTAAACCCATCATTAATAGAAGGCTTGATCTAGCTTCAACTACTTACATCATATATCAAGGCCTTCACGAAATACCCTGCATATTTCAACACTAATTTCGATTGGGTACAAGCCCAGCTTGGTCGTAGCAAATACCAAGCCTCGAGTTTTCAAGCTAAAGTGTCTACCTGTGATGATTGAGTTGCAAGGTTCAAGGTTTGTTCAATGTCAAGGTTTCCATGGAGGTCGTGATGTCACTACCTCTGATTGGACGCTACTGTTCACGTGTCTGTAAATAACATGGCTATAAGTTCAGGAAATGTGAAGTAAACAAGCAACGGCCTGATGTTGTGAAACTCGCAGTCGTTGCTTCAGGAACATGGAGCTATACCAAGACTCACCCCCATTTCTGAGCCTTATATTATTTTGACTTTGACAATTGGTGGGGGTAGGAGGCTCGATTTCCGTCTATTCTTCTCGATGGATCTTGGTTTTCTGTCCCATCAGAACAACTAGATACTTTTACTGGCCAGACCTTCTGTTCTGCACAACTGACGAGGAGAAACCAAGGTGGATAAAATTGAGATATTAGTGCCCGAGCAACAGGACTTCCCCATCCTTTGTAGTATAAGGAGTTTACCTATCTAAGAATTTATTTTGTAAACTATAAGATGTAAATTGATATATTATATTTTTAGGTTGCGTTTATTGGAAGGAGTAATGTTGGGAAGTCTTCGCTGATTAAATATCTATTTCGCCAAGTTCCTGATGTTGATGTTAGAACATCCAAAAAACCTGTAAGTTATATAACAGAAAGTGCAGGAAAACTGTACAAATAAAAACAGACAGGCAATGATAACATGTCACTGAACGTGAATACTAAGTCTGTTTTCAAATTGATTTTACCTGAGCCAAATACCATTTGGTGGTTTGCTCTTGTCAGTGTTGTAATAGGGAGAGCCTGGCAAAGAAAAGCAATAGTCATTTGTCCTGTTTAGACAATTGACAACACATAAAATGCACATTAAATATCCCTTGCCAGTTGGAATGCAAACGAAGAGTTGGCAGTAATTTGGATGTTGGGTAGAATTTCTCTCATAGCACACTGCATCACGGTGTATATTCACGCTTCGTTAGCCTGGCTTGTGCAGAAAAGTATGACATTAAATCCCAGTATATCTACAGTGCTCTTAAAATCAATCCATTTATGAACTACTTTAAAGAGAGAAATGGGGTTTAACGTCCACTCGACACAAACTAGGTCATTTCGGGACTAACATATGGTTTGATTTTACTTCAATAATTCGTTTGCGCGTAGGGATCTTTAGCAGTGGGAGGAAACTGGAGGACCCGGAGAAAACCCACGAGGTTGGACAGGCGACCATACTCGAAACCACGCCAGTTGACTCAATGACACTACGTTAAAGGAGTCTCTCTACATTTAAAATGTATTAGACAGATTTTAAACATAAATGAGTTTTTAATTTAGCTGTGACATGAAAACTGTGAAAGTTTGAGATTCTCCGTTTATTTCGTTTGATTTATTATTTCAGGGTCATACGAGAGTGTTACAGATGTTTAAAGTTAGTAACTGTTTTACGTTAGTTGATATGCCAGGGTATGGTTATAACATGCCAGATCATTTCCACAAATCCGTCGAACAATATCTTAAAACTAGAAGACGGTAAGAATTTAACCATATTTTTATTTTAAAAAAAGATTTGGTTTAAACATTTTTCATATTGAGCAACCAGGTTTAATGTCCACTTGACAAACAAGGTAATTTCGGGACTAACATATGGTTCAATTTTTAATTCAAAAATTTGCTTGTGTGTAGGAGTCTTACCTTGTGTGTAGCAGTGAATGGAAATCAGAGAAAACCCATTGTCACATACAAGTTTGGAATCAAAACCACGCTACTTGACTCAATGACAGACCTTATGTTCCAATGCCACCCCCACCCCACCCCCCCTCCTATTTATATGGAAGATGGTGTACAATTTAAATGCTTATAGAATTGAATACAAAAACAAGCCAAGAGTTGTGGTTAGATATTTGAGGGGAATATGATTAAAGTTCCTCTTCAAGAGAACCTATGGATTATATTCGATGTGTTTATGATACAAAGATTGTAGCAAACAAAAACAGTTTATTTGTTGATTGAAGAGATGTTGGATGTGGTATCCTTATTCGCCGTGAATTGCGGACTCATTTGATGAACAGTCACTTAAACAGAACTCGGGCTTTGTGAAGACTTGGCACTTGACTCGACCCGGTACTAAAGTCAGCAACTTGGGACTCGACTCCGACTCCATGTGCGGCGATTTGGGACTTGAGGTTCCGTATCTTGTTTCCACTTCTGGTACGAGTATTGTTTACATGCTATGAAATTCCTGTTTCAGATTAGTGAGAACGTTTCTATTAATAGATGCATCAGTTGGTCTGACCAACACAGATGAAATAGGTTTAAATATGTTGGAGGAATTCGGGATACCTTACGTGGTAAGATTATCATTCTCTTCCATCCTGGTGTTGGCTGATATTAAACAAGTATCCGATGGGACATGAACTGTGAGGTGCCGTTCACTAAAAAGAACCCTTGGCAGTTGCAAAATTTCCCTCATATCACACTGCATGGTGTATACCACCATTAGTCCAATTGGTAAAGGGAAATGAAACATTATCCTTATAAGACATATAGAAATAGATTTCACTAAAAATAAACACACTTATATGGATATACTACTTCTGAATTTTATTAAAATGCTACGTTTTAATACACAGACAGGTATCGTTATCAAGAAGTATGTGTATTGAAACATAGCATGTTAATAAAATTCAGAAGTAGTATATCCATATAAGTGTTTTTATTTTTAGAAATGAAACATTAAATCCCATTTCATTGTTTTCTATCAGTGTATTAAGGCCGTCGTTCGCACTTCATTTGGTGAATTTTAACAATAAAATCGTTTTTGAGGTTTTATGATTATCTGTGAGTAACACTATCTAGGAACACATACCAGTCATTTTTTTCACAAAATTCTTCTTTATTTCTACAAAATTTGGTTCTGAATGATCCCACCCTTTTTTATTTTGCCCTAATTCCGCTAAAACTATTGATATAAATCTAAAAACAATAGGCATTTCATACGTGAAATACTGGGCTTCCGACCGGTAAACTGTCGCCATGTTGGATACTGTTAGAAAGCTTGGGATTTCCCCTATTGAAAGGAAATGACGTTTTTGGGGGGTGTCTTGAAACCTTTCTTCTGTATTGAGATAAAAATAGCTAGCAAGAACAAGTTTTGCATACCTAATGAGGTTATTTCGAGATTACGTTATTTGATTGGTCGGTCACATAGGTCAATGGTGAAGTGTCCAATCAGAAGCGGGCAATCCGCTAGGTCAGGTCAGTAGGCATGCGCACTAAGCTCAGGTCCCAAATCAATCCTGGTTGCTATATTACTGAACCGCACGTCACTGTTTATCAATATTTTTGAAGATTTTCAAATAAAATGCGTTTTAAATTGTTAAGATGACTAAATAAGTATGACAGACACTCATAATAAACAAAATGAAGATGAATATTCGTCTGCTAGACCTAGTAGTGGTATGGTTGCAATACCATTACCAGGTAGGCCTGCTGTCAGTGATTATTATAGTTATGGTTGTTTTGAATAACATCTATTCCTATGCCAATGTTCGGTTGTAAATTTACACACAAGAAATAAAATAAGAAAATACTGTATATTGATAAGAAATACATTAGAAAATATATATATTAAAAGTCAGTTTATTAATATTAAATAAATGAATTGAACAGATCGGCGTAAGTTGTTCTATTGAAATACTTCAACTTCAGTTGTTGATTTCTCAAAACAGTTTTTTTCTAGAGTTACCAATTTTAGTCATGCTATATCTCTGAAAGTTATCGTCAGATTTTCTTGAAACTTGGAATATAACTTCCTATATAATAACTTTGTGCAATAGGAGAATTTTATTGAAATCTGCAAAATAGTTCCTGATATATTGTTGCCATAGCAACTGTGACACGTGAAAGAATTTTGAAGTTAACATTATAATGTGTATAACTTGCTTTCTAATTATTATTTTGTAATGAAACTTGCCTATTGCACAAAGGAACATGTCAGTAACCTCTCTGCTTAATTTTAAAACATTCTGTTGAATAGTTTCTGAGAAACTGGATGACTAAAATTATATGCAGAAATCCAAGATGGCCGCCGTTTCCATAGCAACAGGTACCCCCAGGAAAATTTTTCGGCCGTTTTTGTAATATTCAATGGATGTGTTCTTAGATGTGTAAGAATGGTGACTTTACCTCAATTATTAAAAAAACTGAAATTTTCTACTGTCCACCCCCTTAATATTAGAAGTAAAAAGATAACTGTGATATATATTTTATGAACTTTGATGGCTTATTTAACTTAATGATACTAGTTTGGAAGAAGCCCTAAAAAAACTGGTTTTAATCTTTACTGTAATGGGGCTTTGAAGACTACAGGGGGGATAACTCCATCATTAATTCTTACAGTAAATTTTGATCTTTCCCTCCTCACTAGTCCTGTTTATTGTTATGATGAGGAAATCAACTTTATTCTAGTGAAAGTAATCATTTAGTTCTTATCTTTAATAAGCTGTTTATAAAGAGGTAACCATGGATGCTAAAGAAGTCAAGTAGGCCTTATCACATGAGCATTAACCAGTCCTAAATCTACCACCCTCATGATGTCCGCATATAGATTTCAAAAATTTCGGAAATTACCAGAATTGATCTAGGAATGCTTTATGCATATAATAATATGGATATTTACAGTGCACTGTTGAACTCTCATGTGTATTTGTAGATAGTTTTAACAAAGGTAGATAAATCTGGTGATTATAAACTAGTGAAGAATGTGATGGACATCATATCAAAAATAAAACAACTGTCTTCTAACTACTGTTTACCTCAACCATTTCTTCTTAGGTAAGTTCTACATCTTTAGATAGCTAGACCTTTCATTTTCGCAACAAATAATAATTGTCGATTTCATTGGATAAACACAGTACCATATTTACCAGTAACCAAATATGTCATCGCCGCCATCTTGGAATCAAAAGTCTGTCAACTGATGTAAAATTGTCCAAGGAACAATCATGCCAAGCAGAGGTTTAGGCTTTTATCAAAGATCGTAACACTCCAAAAAGAACAAGACGAGTAGCAATTGGGGGCCAGTTCTTGGGCCCAAAAAAATCCTGAAACAATTTCTCCTTCATTTCTCCTTGTAACTTAAAATGGTTATTATTTTTTTATTTCAGTTCTATTACCGGAGAAGGTTTTGCGTTATTCCAGTGTTTTATTTGCTATATAACTGGTAGTGTAGAAATCGCTGACAAACACAGTGAATAAACTTACCGGTATACATCAAACAATCCATGTCTCTCTCTCTCTTGGGTGATAAACACAGTCAATAAACTTATACATCAAATAATCAACATTAGTTCAGGTTTTTTTTGTATCATGTGGGATCTACATGATATGGTCAAAATGGTAAATAAATGTATATATCTAACAGTCCACGTTAAATTGGGTTTTTTTTTTGTATCATGCAGCATCTGCTGCAGCCAGTGTTACTACATATGATTGTTCCTGAAATTGTTTGATGGTATTTTCCAAATGTGATTAAATTCAAGTCGGTGATTATCTATCGTTGATAATTTGGTTCTGTTTTTTTATTTTAATGTTAAATAATCAATTTGAGTACATATTTAGCGTGAATTAAGCTGTGAAAATATTAGATATTCTTCAACAAATACCAAGGATAATCAGAGATTTGAATGAAAAACCAAACAGTTTGTATATCATGATGAGCATGATTTCTAGATTACAGATGATGAAGAATCTGTAATGACTGAACATTCCCATCAATATTTTATAGTTTCTATACAAGAATAAAACAACACAAGATATACCATAAAATTTTTAATATCACAGTATATTTTATTAACATTATAACAGTAAAATCAACTTGAACCCCTTAACCCTCTATTCACTGAATGTTTCATGGCCTTTACACTGGGTTTTGATGTCAGGACAAAAACAACTGAAGGCTGTGTTTTTCCCAGCCACGGGAACAAAAGGTAGTCATAATTTTGGCATATTTTACTAAATATTGTAAAATTACATAATAAAGAAAAAAAACAACATAAAATGAAATCTGAGATATCTATACTGATAATTGTGACTGTCGTTTGTTTGTCTGCCTGTTCAGGGTTGGAGGCTACACTAGTGCTGTCCCGAGACTGAAATTTGGTGTACAAGGGGTTGCTTGGACCGGGGAGTAACACGGGCCTAGTGGCGATGGCCTACCACTTCCGGTTTTGGAGTTATCCTACATCCAGTTCATGGATATACCCGTGCTATGCCGAGTCAACAACTGGTATTTAATAATTGTACCAAATATATGTTATATCAAGCTGGATTTTAATGTTGTCACATACATTTGAGCCAAAATATAATTTGAATACAAAAGGATAAGAGGGCATAATGACTAGTTAACAGGTTTTATATGCCAGAGCCCAGAGGAAAATTTCCATCCTTTCAGAGTTGCACTTCCTAATTCATACATACACATATTCCATTTATCAGAAACTTCACTCTTCAGTTCTAATTATATTAAAAATGAAATCGTATCTCTGTGTTATGGTTTTGTTTCATTTTTAGGAAATTCTTTCTGTTGATGAAAATATCTCTGTCTAAATGATCGGTCTTCATAATGATCTTGATCTACAGATGCGTCTCTAGAACTTTCCTGAAACGGTCAATTATTTGAATAAAAATCTTCACTCACTAATGTGGTCCCTGATTGTATGTGACAAGGAGTAGGGTCACCTGTCCAACTTCGTGTGTTCTCTCTGGTTTCCTCCCACAGCTAACGACCCTTACGTACAAGCAAATTACTGAACCATGTTAGCCCGCAAATGACCTAGTTTGTGTTGAGTGGATGCTAAACCCCATCTCTCTTTCTCTCTCATACTGATGTGGATTTAATGTCCACAAACTAGGTCATTTCAGGACTAACGTTGCAATGTTTATTTCAATAATTTGTGTGAGTGTAGGGGTCTTTAGCAGTGGTAAACTGGGGGAACCGGAGAAAACCCATGAGGTCAGGAAAGCAATCTATCTCTATGTCACATACAAGTTTGGAATCAAAACCATGCCACTTAACACAATGACAGGCCTTATGAACTAAATTTCGCAGGGTAGACCGCCACCTCACCCCATCCTTCTGACAATAAGTTATATAAAACTCAGGTTCAGAGCTCTATAAATCCATTAAAACCCCCACAGTACAATAAATTACTTTACATAAAACAGAATATAAAAGACTTCTTACCTGAAAGTTGTGTATTTTCTCCATGGTGATAAGTCTTCGAGCAACCTTAGAGTTTAATGGCTGTTGACAGTTGGCTATCAGTTGGAAAGATGGATGTATGGGTATATTACTCTCTAAATAACTAGAAAATATAAACACAGAATCATTACATTATCCACTGGACACAAGAATCTCACAGAATCATTACATTATCTACTTGACACAAGTCATTTTGGGACTAACATAATGCAAATTTATGTGATAAAAAAATCTGAATATGAAATCAAGGAACTGAAATTCATTGAAATATTTAAACATACATTATGCAAGAGCTAAATCTGATTATTGCAAGTCTTTATTTAGGCTTCAGATGTCATAGAAATTATAAATTAGATCTTTATTTACACAACAAGCACAAAATCAACTCTGTAGACCTACGGATGGCTTGGATTTAAACAGGATTTCGTTGATTGATTAAATTTTTAAATGGCGTCGTAAGCGGAGATTAACCGTTACGTTGGCGTCATACTCCCGGAAATAATTTTCCTTGGTACGAAGCGAGGCTGCTGTTGAACGAGGTTGCATGTCAGTCAATTTGACTGAAAGTTTGATATATCCAGCCTTGATATTACGTTTAGTTGTGGTTAAAATGAGAGTTTGGATGTCGGTATTATACGTTCTTTCGTCATTTGCGTTTACAGAAAAATTATAGAAATTGATCAACATCACAGCTAACATCACCCCAGTTGAATTGCAGCTCCATTGGATCACTGTTCGGGAGTTACGTAGGCCTACCAGTTATAGTACAAGAAAGAGTACACGCAGGCTAACAAGAAGTCGGCTATAATTATGCCTCATTGATTTGGTCCATTCCTTTCAAACTTTCGCTTCTTATCTATATATGAAAAGTCTTATTTTTAATTTGTAGTAAAAATAAATGTGATACGAATTGAATTGCAACCCCGTCTCAAACCACAGCCATTGAAAACGTTACTTGATAATCGAGATTATGTAGGTGGAGTTAACGCCAGTCAATCAAACGATTGTATATTCTCGGAGACGGTGAAGGGAGAGTCGACTCCTATTTCTAGTCAAAAATTACAATAGTGATAACTTTGTTCAGAATAAAGTAATTTGACTGAAATTTTCAATTTATTCTTTTTTCATCATCTATTTTTGAACTGTTATAGCAAGAATGGCCAACTCTCTATTAAAATCTCCCATGATGTATCTTTAATTTACACTTAAGAAAATGTTTTAAAAATACTATTTTGCTTTTAGAATATGTCAGAATATCTCATGTTTTAGATGACTACCATCGACTCACTATAAATACATCTCATATTATAGATGACTACACCATGGCCCCACCACCATAAGTTTATCTCATGTTTTAATAATAAAAACTTACTCTGATCTGATGACAGGGAACCAGAAAACTAATCTACCACCAAGTCGTAAATATTTTGCAGCAAAATTCAGTAAATCCCGAAATATATCAGACAATTGATACTGAACTTTCTGGGGTATGTGAATATCTTTACTGTAAAAAAAAAAGAATGAAATGTAAAAATACTTCTTACACCTAGTTTGTATTACCATTTCCTAATAGTTAAACAATACCTGGTTAATTCTGTGAGAAAAGTTCTTGGATATGATGAGATTAAATGGGGTATAACATTCTACTTTTCTGGAGAGCCACGCTGGCTTAGTGAGTACCATCCGAACAATTAAAGACTGTTTCCTGCCAGACCCTTCATTCTGCACCACTGACAAGGGGAAGCCAGACTGGAAAATCCTAAGGAACTTTCTCAGCTTATCACGGTTTCTAAACTCATTTATGTGAGGATTTCATTCTTCATTTGTAATCACAACGATCACTTGTTACTATTATTTTGGCAAATTATTCATTATTGTCCAGACACTGACACAGGGTGGACTTATGGCCAACACAGACACAGGGTGGACTTATGGCTGACACAGTGTGGACTTATGTCTAACACTGACACGGGGTGGACTTATGGCTAACACAGACACGGTATGGACTTATTGCTAACACAGACACAGGTTAGACTTATGGCTAACACTGACACAGGGTGGACTTATGTCTAACACAGACACAGGTTAGACTTATGGCTAACACTGACACAGGGTGGACTTATGTCTAATACTGACACGGGTTAGACTTATGGCTAACACAGACACAGGGTGGATTTATGTCTAACACAAACACCGGGTAGACTTGGGCTAACACAGACACAGAAACTGAATATCCCAGGACTTCAGGTTGTTTCACAAAAGGACAAGGATAAAAGTTTGTAAGAATCTTTCACCTTAAATCAACCAGTTTTATTCACTAAAATATATCTGGCACATTAATTTCGGAGCTGCTCAACTTCTAGACAAGGTAAATTTGCTATTGTTTCCTATTTTGACACTTGATTTACGTCAAATTCATTGACATGTTCCTTATAAAAAATAAAATATCTTACACTTCTTCACTGATGATATACTGTTCACTAGCTGCACCAATCTTCTTAGCTGGTTCACGTATACCATACGGTGCTGGAAATATTAAATATAGTTTAGAGATAGGCGTGTATTTCATGTATACCATATGGTGCTGGAAATATTAAATATATTTTAGAGATAGGCGTGTATTTCACGTATACCATACGGTGCTGGAAATATTAAATATATTTTAGAGATAGGCGTGTATTTCACATGTACCATGTGCAGGAAATATTAAATATATTTTAGAGATAGGCGTGTATTTCATGTATACCATTTCGTGCTGGAAATATTAAATATATTTTGGAAATAAGCTTGTATTTCACGTATACCATATGGTGCTGGAAATATTAAATATATATTTTAGAGATAGGCTTGTATTTCATGTATACCATTTGGTGCTGGAAATATTAAATATATTTTGGAAATAAGCTTGTATTTCACGTATACCATATGGTGCTGGAAATATTATATATATTTTATAGATAGACTTGTATTTCACATGTACCATATGGTGCAGGAAATATTAAATATATATTTTATAGATAGACTTGTATTTCACATGTACCATGTGCAGGAAATATTAAATATATTTTAGAGATAGACTTGTATTTCACATATACCATATAGTGCTGGAAATATTAAATATATTTTAGACTTGTATTTCACATATATCATATGGTGCTGGAAATATTAAATATATTTTAGACTTGTATTTCACATGTATCATATGGTGCTGGAAATATTAAATATATTCTAGACTTGTGGTCTACTAAGACAGCTAATGATTATAATATAAAGTTTATATTCGTTTTTTAAATCCCCCATACATTTGCAATAATCACCAGTTGGGTTTTTTTCTTCTCGATATTCAATCTAAAAATTGACATTTTTTAAAGATAAAGGTAGAAATATTAGAATAAATTTCAGTGCTACAGTTTCCTGGAAGTCATGGTGGATCAGCGATCTAGGTTCGATTTCGGTGTTAACTAACAAAGTTCCTCAGGATTTTCCAACCTGGTTTCCCTGTGTCGGTCATGCGAAACAAGGAAAATCTTTTCATCGTTTGGATGGGCAGTAAAAATTTCCCCCATCATCATTAGCCTTTTTAGTACCGCAAAGTAAGACATTAAAAGCCATTTCAATTCATTTACAGTTTGTTTATACATAAAAAACTTACGATCTGTAATAATAGCATCGAAGTATGTTTCTGGTCTCCACATGTCATGTTTTGATGAATCACCAACTATCGCATCAATATATCGAGATCCTGTACCATATTGTTCTAGATTCCGTCGGATACTTTCATCGCTAGCTCGCTTCGTCTGTTTATATCGACTTGGTTTACCTGAAATATAAAAACAACAAATATGTACTATAATTTGTTTATTCACCCACATTTAATATATGGTGGACACACTACAGTTCAGGGTTTCTGATGCAATTTTTTATAAATTTGTACAGATTATTGCAAAGACCCTATTAGGATTTTGCAAGTGAAAATGGTGTTGTTGATAAAAATATCAATCAACTTGTCAGGTACAACTCTTAACAGTCATACCTAAGTGAGATTCGTCCGCCTGGGTCATGAACAGAGATATATTTAACAGTAATTTTGATACGGTTTCTGATTATTTATAAACAGGCCATGTCAGGCCTCACGAGAGGGGGGTGCAGTCGATGCACCTCCCCCCCCCCCCCCCCAATGCTTTCCAATACTATGTCACTAACCCTTATGACAGTATGAAAAATGGTCCAGATTTTTGATTCCTCCGAACATATATAGTGCAACTGAATCATCTAGATAGTGTTGGAAAGGAGGGGGTGTGCAAGGGCCCTGAGCCATGTAGCAAATAAAGATGATCCAAGTAATTAACAGTATTTAGCTAACGCAGTGAACCAGGGAGATTTAATGATATAAATAACTAACTTACCTTGGCCGTGTAATAATAAAAAATCTAATTCTGTACCCATAACATAGCCACCATGATGAGCAGCTGCTACTAATAAACTACCTGAAATCAAAATAAAACTACAAATATCTTACATGTACTGGAATTCTGGCTCTCAAAATATAAAAATCATTTTCATATCTCTCCAAGTAAATGTTTATTCATTCACAGGCTTTTCGTATTCAATCTGAATACGAGAGAGAGAGAGAAATGGGGTTTAACGTCCACTCGACACAAACTAGGTCATTTCGGGACTAACATACGGTTTTATTTTATTTCAATAATTTACTTGCACGTAGGGGTGTTTAGCAGTGGGAGGAAACCTAAGAAAACAGAGAAATTCCCACGTGGTTGGACAGGCGACCCTACTCCTTTTCACGTACAACTGGGGATTTAAAACCACGCCAGTCGACTCAATGACTGGTTTTATGATACAGCACGCACATGCTAACGATTTGGCCATCCAACACCCCCAATCTGAAAACATTTGCCCAGACATCATACTGTCATGGCTTCATGTTCTCATCCACAATCAGCATACTATACAAAATATATGAAATTTGGATTACGATCCTACTTTACTGCATAAAATGGACGAATGTACGCCATGCTACGAGGGAAAAATATCTAAGACCATATGTAACATTAAAGATATATTATGGGAGATTCAATAACGAGTTGGCAGTTCTCACTATAATAGTTAAAAACTAGATAATGTAAAAGCAATTTGAAAGGCCTTCATGTTTATAAAATTGTGCGGGAGCCATAAAAAGCTCCTGATACCTTGAATATATATAGTTTAAAAGTAAACAAAAACTGAAAGTAGTTTATTAATCTCAATATTTAGGAGAGCGATTTAGCTAATTTGCAGGAGTCTTTAATGACTCCTTCAAAGGAAAGCGGACGTGCGTCGAGAGGAGCAGGAGCGAAAGCTCCCCTTAAACGTGAAGGACTGATTTGCTGAAAATTTCATTCAAATTGATCCACTATGAGCCGAGAACTAAGCGATGGAAATTTCCGCCTAGCCTCAATCATCATTACTAAAGTAAGTACAATAAACAGCATAGTCTCGATTATCCATTTAATCGTTAAATCGTGAAGGAAAGTTATGCAGTAAATCGGCTCATAATCCACTAAAGATCGCAGGCTAGCTATGACATCGAGAGTTGATTATGATCTGGATAAGTTAATTAATGTCTAATTAATAATTTAAATAATATTTCAGGCCTAAAGAAAGACCTGCAATTGGCAGATTTAGCTCTTGCATAATGTATGTTTAATACTGCAATATATACTCATTTTTAAAGAGTTAATTTATAGTATATTTACCTGTTCCAACAAATGGATCTAAAACCAGTGAATTATTTGTAACTTTGGCCATGTTGGACATAATTAACGACAGACCAGCATCCATACTTGTATTACCTGATAAACAGAATTAATATAAACTTTCTAAACAGCAGAAACTCTCAGACACGAAATAAAATATAGTTATACATCCAACCCACACAAAATATAAAAATTGTAGGCTTACCTATAAAATGTCTCTTTTGAAGATGTAAATCCTGTATTCTATCTCGCTGTCCACCTGCTATCTGTTAAAATATCAAAAAACATTTAATTATATTTCATACATTAAATTATTTTTGTGGAGGTTCGAACTGGATACACTTATCTAACGCAGTTGCAACTATTCAGTGATAGCGTCTGGAGGGCTGACAAGTACAGTGTTGTCTAGTAATTTGGATGGTGCAAAAAGCACATAATATTTGGGGGAGAGGGAGAAAATTCGGGTTTAACGTCCACATGACACAAACAAGGTCATTTCAGGACTAACCCGGTTCAATTTTCTATTTCAATAATTAGAACTGGGAGGAAACTGGAGTACCCAGAGAAAACCCACGAAGTTGGACAGGCCACTCTACTCCTTGTGACTTACAAGCAGGGAATCGAAACCACGCCATTTGACTCAATGACAGGCTTTATGATCCAACACGCATAAGTTAAACAATTCGACATAACATTGAGAATTCGTTGTAGGTGGAAACAACATTGTCTGGGCAAAATTCATTTCCTGAGGATTTCACACATGTCTATAGAAAATAAAATGAAATGAAATGGGGTTTAACATCCTACTGTTTTGCTCCGAACTGCGCTAATGAAGACGGGCATACGCCATACAGTACGCACTACGGCCTACTCTTATATCGAATTCCAACTGTCAAGGGATCTTTTACGTGCACGCCAATGTGTACATGGGACCTCGGTTTTTCGTATCATCCGAATGACTAGACGGCTGTCTATAGAAAAAAATCATGAGTGTTAGTCTAAAAGACTGAAGTATTGTGTTAAAGAGGAGTAAAATTACATTTCATTCTGTTCTTTATTTATATGTCAATCATGAATTTGATGTCTAATTATGATTACTAGCCCTTTTTTTTAAAAGCGTATAGCTTATACATAAGACTATGATTTTAAGAAAAGCAGCTGATTATGATAATTCATGACTATTCATGAAAATATAAAATTTTAGTTTGTTTTTTTTAAACAAGGCCACAGATATTTGGGAGATAAATAACATTACGAGCTTACCCATCTTCCAAAATAAAGATGAAAAGGATATTCTGGTGGTTTACTACATTCATACCCGTAATATTCAAATAGATGAAATGTATTCATAGCATTGTTTAAATCAACTTTACCCTGAAAATCTAAAACATCAAAAGGTAGAGCCTGAAAATAATAAAAAAAAACTATTATTCGTGGGAATTATTAAGAAAACAAAATTCTCTGTGAAGATGAAAATAACAAATGTCTGTGTAAATCACAATCACATCTATAAGGGGTTTTGAAACAAATGTTCTTTTTCTCAGATACTGCTTTGTCACAAAAGTATAAATATTTCACCGGCTTCAGATTTTCTGAAGGATTGCCTGAAAACCAGATTATTTTCTTCTTTTTGTTTGAATGGCCTAATAAATAGAAACCTTTAGTTTGAAGCCACTGATCGTCCCTTGTAAATACGGTTAAAATTGCATCTCTAAAAGGAATATTAGTCCCAAAATGTTTTAATTTTGTTCGGCATCCACAGCAGACGATATAGGATATAGTTAAAGATGCATTATATAAGAGCTAAATCTGTCTATTGCAGGTCTTTCTGTTGGCCTCAAATGTTACATAATTATTTTGATATTTATTAACATGACAAGCCCATAATCTACTCTATAGATCATCAGATTCATTTTTTAGCATTTATTTTTTAACTATTATACAAAGAACGACCGTCTCTTTATCTAAATCGTATATAATACATCTTTAACACAATGCATGATTTTTGTCGGTATTACCTTTATCTTCTCTGTTTTTATATTCTGTGGAATCTTTTTATTAAAACTTTCAACTCGGATACCAAATGACTGGTCAGCTTGTAGATATGGAGACTGAAATTTAAACAAAATCAAATAAATTTACATAACAGACAGTATAAATAATAAGAAGGCAACAGAAAATCACGTACAAAGAAACAACAGCCTATTTAGAGAGGAGAGAGAGAGAGAGAGAGAAAGAGAGAGGGTTTAACATCCAACTAGGTCATTTCAGAACTAACACATGATTTAATTTTATTTTAATAATTCGCTTGTGTGTAGGGGTCTTTAGCAGTGGGAGGAAAGCGGATGACCAGGAGAAAACCCACGAGGTTGGACAGGCAACCCTCCTCCTTGTCACATACAACCGGGGGAATCGAAACCACACCAGTTGACTCAATGACAGACCGTATGATACAATGCGCACATGCTAACCATCCGGCCATCCAACAGACCCTCAGATACTCAGTGATATGCAGATTGGATCTCAGCTATGCACACAGATTGGATCTCAGTGAAATACACAGATTGGATCTCAGTGATACACACAAATTGGATCTCAGTGATACATGTACATATGAGGTTTTTTAGGACAGGTCTTAACTTGTCAAGGGGTATATCAGATAGCTCTAAATACCTTAATGGACAGAACCAGTTGGATAAAAGAGAAAATCTTCATCTGTACTTACAATAAATTGTGATGGAAGTTGTCTGATATTGTTGTTTAATTCTTCTGTTGTTTTACCCTCAGCCCATAATTCATAAACAGATCTGTAAAAACAAACTCATTACTGACTCACATAGAACAGAGCACATGTATTAACTAAAACAGATCTACAAAAACAAACTCATTACTGACTCAAATAGAACAGAGCCCATGTATTAACTAAAACAGCTTATATACAACCACAAATCTCACAACTCTACAAAACAGAGTATTCTATTGGAGTGCTCAATCTTTACATACAATTTAAAGGAGCCAAGTTTGTAAATTAAATTCAATTCAGACTCTTAGCATATTTTGCCAAACATAACTGATTAGAAATTACAGTAAAAACAGAAACTATTGACTATAAATCAGTTTATATACTTGTACATTCATATTACATTATTATATATGTGTTGCGATTCATTTGTGTCCATTTCTAGGTGCCAAAGAATAGCGATTCAGCTCCTTTAAAAGAAAAGAACCATTAAATTTGATTCTGCTCCCACTTTCCATAATGCCAGAAAAGGCATATTTTTACCTCTGTATACAATTTGTCAAGAATAAGGTCCTCAACCCTCACCTGTAATATCTTACAAGAAAAGGCCTCTCAGTTTGTTATGAAAATGTTAATTTAATTAACCCTCTGTAGTCTTACTTACCTGAGTAGAACAGATCTCGACAGTAGTTTATGGACGTGGTCTTCAGACGGTAACTCAACAACTAAAAATGGATTCTAAAAATAGAGTAAACATATACTGGTTAAAATATTGCTTATTGCTAGTCTAAAACATACTGCCAAATAATTCTATAGTAGTCTGTAGAAATAAAAATGTAAATAGCACAAGGACACAATTCTATGGAATATAATTAAGGTACCAGAGGTCGCAGTCAAAGCAATAGTTTGCTCTTTACTTCCTGTCGAAGTGAAAGATTGAAATGACCGTGCCATCAACCTCCAGTCTTCATTAGACTAAATACAATATCAATAAAATAAGGACGCTTTAAATAGGGTTGTTCACTGAACGATTTAACTTGCTTCTATTGAGTATATTGAGAGGCTCTAAGTCACACAGATGTAGAGGGCAAAAACTAAGGTTTCCTAGTCTTTTATCAAGCAATGAGCCTCGCTGACTGACATTCCTACTGCAAAGACCCAATAGATGTTCTGGAAAGAACAAGCATACTTCTGTGAATTTGTCATTTTGAGAAGGAGAATTTTAACAGCAGCATTTACGCCTAATCTTCAAAAAATCATACATAACTGTTGAGGATTTATTTGCGTGCACATCTCATCCATTCAACACTTTACTTGTTACATGTAGCGTTGCAGGCAATAGGCTTACCACTATAAGTAAAATTCTGACTTACTTTTTCATCATAGTCCTCTTCGTTAATTTTAAATTCTGATTTTGTTAATGATGCAATAGCTTTCAGCTCCTGAAATAAAAATATTTTCAAAAAAACTGTTCCGAAAAGAAAATTTTCATAGATTATGGATAGACACATTCTTGGTCCACTATCAGTATCACAAAATATTATTATAACAATTTAAGCCTACTGGTGTTTATAGGCTGTCTTTGTTAGAACAATGTACTTGAGGATAGTGATGCTATTTATAAACTGCAATATGGAATATTTTGAAAACCCATCCCATGCCACTGCCCTGGCAAAAATCAACTGGTAAAGCTTTTCACAATGGAATAAAATCAAAATACAAATATTTTGAAATTATCAAATTTAAATAAAAACAAAATAACTTACTGCTAATTTAAACTCGAAATGTTCACTCGCAAAATGAAATAGATATTTTCTACATGTGTTGCAAACCGGTTGCATTTTGCTTTTCGTGGAGGCTGCCATTTTGAAACTCTTCAGTGAAAAAGGTTAATTCGGTAATCTGAATATAATTTTATGAATATTTCGATATTCGTATGGAGAAATGATACTTTTTTTCCTATTGCAATGCTGAAGTGAATAAAATAGTTATTCTTAAATTAATTGGATTGTCAAATAAAATATTATATACTACAAATTGTAAGAAATGTGCTCAAAAATACTTTTGTTTTACTGTAATAGCAAATTTTCCGAATATTTATCCTCGAATAATGTTCCCATTTCAGGCCATGTGATCTTATTTTTAACCAATGAACAAGGCGAATTATCGTGTGCGGAATTAATGTTGTTGATCCCACGTTCAAGGCACAATACTGGATCTTCAATGAGTTACTTTCTATTTTTCACTCGGCAACCGGCTGCAGATTTCACTCGGCCAACTTCGGTTACTCCTCTACACCAAACCATGTTTCCAAACAGAATTATCTTTCCGTGACCCGCAAATTATATTTTTAACTGGTTTGCTTTTGGCGCAATATTCTGATGTTTAGGCTAACACTGTTTTTAACGACGTCAGCTTCTTATATTTATTGGGCTACAAACACTAAACAGTTGTCTTTTATTTTCTGAGGAGATTTTCTGACCTGGGTAATGTAAATGAAGTTTGTTACTTTATAGTAGGCTAGTATTTGACTAAAACTGCATAAATCAAATCTTAATCATAGATGTACCGATTGTAAATAATTTTTTTTGCTGACGAAGTCTTTTCTAACTTTTGGGGTAAGACTACTAACTAAGTAGCCTACATTGAAATTAGTGCTAGTATAGTAGAAGTGGTCTTGGCGTCGGGTAATCGATATGAAAACAAGTCTACATTATAATTAGGCCTAGATATCTACCTAGTCCGACTTCATTTCAAGCATTTTATTTATACCCCTTAAGTTGTAGTAGTGACAGTTTAACTACAAGTAAGTACAACAGCAACCAACAGGGGGTCACAGTATCGTGACTCATGGACTTGTCAGGAGTATAACTTGAGCCTGAGAATGATCAATGAGATACACACAAATGGATAAGTCTGATAATCAGTTAATAAATCAGATGTAACTTGTAAATAAAGGCACTGTATGACAGTGTATGTAGGCCTACATATGATATATATTCTAAATACTAATAAATAGGCCTAGTAGTATTGTTTTATTAATATTACCTATTTATTAATTAATAGGGTTTCAGGTCAAACTCAAAGTTTCAAATGATCAAAACGCTCTATATACCAGTCAATGCGTGGGATGGCACCAAAATAAGTGCTTTTCTGTCATATTTGAGTGACGTCATGAGTCATAAGCGGTATTTTCCCTTCAGAATCGCTATACTGGCTAGGCTCTATATAGTACCAATTTTAAAACTGAATGAAATCCGCACGTTATTGTCAGCTAAGATTTATTAAAATCATAATTATATATTATAGATCTAATTTCAAATATTATACTTAACTAATAGAATCAATTAAGCTTTTACTATCTAATATGGTCGAAGCTCAGGTCCTAAAAACGCCTTTAATTTATGGTTTCTGTTATTCTTAAATAGATATTGTTAGGGACCTCATGCTGGAGGTTCGGTCGCATGATCATTTAATGTTCGAATTCTATACAAAATTGTAAAGTCTGAAGTTAGTATCAATGTAATTTGCTTATCTGGTCAACAAAGGTCCATTTACATTGATTTTGATGGAAAATTAGATCTGAATTACATATTACATATTTAAAGTTTATATTTCTTGATTATAAAGGTAGAATTTGAAATTATTTTCTCAGTGTTTTAAATGGGTTGGTTTTTTTTTTTGATGGCTTTGACCATTAAATTGAAAAAAATCAATGAAATGGACCTTTGTTGTGGTGTGGATAGGCTTGGGTGTAGGGGTGCCGGGAGCCCAAGTAGTGTCGTTAAAAAAGTATTAACATTAGTGTTACTTTACTCTTATTTTATGAAAGTTTTTTTCGCAAGTTGATTTCCTTTATTTTTTTTAATGTAGAATGGTAATGAACTGCTTTTTTCCTTTTCTTTGCTTTATTTGTTCCGTTTGAATTTGATTTATCTGTTTAGTTTTTGATTGTTTAATTATTGTTTTTGTTAATTAAGTTGATTCTTTTAAACTTTGTTTTTATTTTTATACGTCCGTCGTCCACAATTTCTTGTGAACGCTCTAGTTAATATCTGATATTTACTGCCAGAGTTATAGCCCTTGATCACTTTGATAAATCTTGTGAACGCTCTAGAGGCTAAAGTTAATATCCAATGGACTCCAAATTGTTACACAGTGTGTAAGGTCATGAGACGAAGAAGCCTAATGATTTTCAGCGATATCCGATAATTACTACCAGAGTTATGGCCCTTGATCACTTTGAAAAATCTTGTGAACACTCTAGAGGCTAAAGTTAAAATCCAATTAACTTTAAATTAATACACAGTGTTTAAGGTCATGAGACAAGACGCCTATTGATTTTCAGCGAGATCTGATGATTACTGCAAGAGTTATGGCATTGATATGTGAGAGACATCAGTTTAAAGTCGATTCTGGTTATTATAATCTAATGTATGAACTTTGTGTTGATTTTACCAGCCTGTAATTGTGGTATCATAATTAATTGTGATTTTAACATTTTTTTTAGTTAACTATATTAAATGAATTCCAAATGTACGTGTTGGCGAGGGGGTACATTAATAATTATATGTTTTTGTAGTACATGTTCCTTGTTTTATAATAAAACTACGCCCTTTCATTTTTCAGAAGAAAAGTATAGAAAATATTTCCAATTATCTATCTTGAGGTAAATCAGTTTATTTTCATTAACAGTTCTTATTTTTGTAAATTTTTATGTAAATCAACTACTTGTCATTGGAGTGCATCTCAAAAATCACTTTCCTTATCTACATAAAGTTTATGTAATAAGTTATAGTGTGTAAATTTGAAGTAAGTTCATATGTTTTTTTATTAATTATTTACAGATCACAGAGATTGAATGCTGCAGGTCTTGTGTTTAGTGTATAGACTAATTGGTGGATGTTATTAACATTAACCTTTTAGCAAAGGTTAGCTTGATGATGTTACTGCAGTGTAGTGGAAGATGTTAACCTAACTTTGGTAGACAACAAGCCTAACCCTGAAGTCAACGATGTACAATATGTCAGTGTCACGGTTCCACTACCAAACGTAACGCGAATATAAACAATACTTACGGGTACATGTATTTACTTTGATTGAAATGAGGTCAACTTAAAAATTTGTGTAGATGTGTTATTTGTTGTAACAGTTATATCCATAAAAGTTATATCCATAAAATGTAAATTGTATTTTCTCTATATTAGTATAACAGATTAAACGAAATAAGATTATTTCACTCATGACTCGTAGTCACCCACCATCGTAGAAGTGTCAACATATCGAGAACACGCATTCATGAACCATGATTAGTTGGGACAAATTAATAATGAGGAATACTGTTTTCAAAGGCCTTAAGACAGGAAAGTGGTTATTGGTCACAACATTCATGTGTCACTGCAGGGGAGGGGGTGGAGTCAAATGATAATGCATTCGTGTTGGATAATAAGGTCTGTCATTTAGTGAAGAGGCTTAGCTTCGTTTCCAAGAGTAGGGTCGACTGCATTCCCACTGTTAAGATTTCGAGAAACAGGGCCCAGATTCTCACATCAGATACTTGAACCACAGAAAAGGTTACCTTTCAGAAAATTGGCTCTGTAGCCTAAAACTGAATCACCTATATCTCGGTTCAGAGCAAAGCAATCTGACTGAAATTTCAACATTTTCTGTTTCTATTATTTATTGTTGAACTATTATAGCGAGAACTGTCAGCTCTTATCTAATCTTACCCAATGGCGCCAATGCCCCTTTAAAATGCCCCTTATAAATCTAGTTTAAAATCCAAATATTTGTCTAAACTTTAGACAGACCTTATGATCTACTAGTATTCTCCAGTTGGTCAATTTCACTGCAAGTCAGTCAAAACGGCCAAACATGACTGGCGAAAATAAGACAAATAAGGTTGGAAGTACCTTCAAAACAAACCATGGCACTTGAATCAATGACAGACCTTATGATCTAAAGCATACATCAGACCACTCAACCACACAACTGGTAAAGACTTTAGACAAATATTTGGATTTTAAATTAGAAACAAAACCATACTGTTGAAGATGTAATTGAGACAAGACATTAGACTAGCACTTATATTTATTAGCAAAAAAAAGCCAACAATTTGATTGGTTTTAGTGCTTAGCCAATCAAAATTGAAATTTCTACTAAAATTTGGATTTGATCTTAGTTAAAATTTCCCTACTTTTAAGTTCTGGTAAAATGTCCTTATGTGTCGGAAGTTCTGATTTGTCGACTAAACGAAAGTGACCAGACTGTCCACCGTTGGCTTTGAGAAATGCGACAATTTTGATCGGTGACATACTTTGCGTTACAATGGTGTACATCTGATTTCTAGTGGAATGATTTATAAAGCGAACTGGAACGGGGAGGTTATACAGTAAGCCGTTAATCTGGCGTGTGATATGATGAGTGAAAGCAGGTCCAAACAGTAGATCTTTTAGCATTTTAACTTTTATGAATTCGTCTAGTCGTGCCTGGGCAGCTTTTAAAATAAATCTATCAGCATGACGGTAATGTGGTTTTCTAGGATATTTCTTCTTAGCCTGTGAATCTGTTACTTCTTCCTTCATTTCAACATCTGTGTCACTGGTCTCAGTTTCTGAATCAGTTCCCTCAGCTGTAGTAGCTGTAACGTTTTCTCCTGCATCCTCGGCAGCTTTCTTCAACACCTCCGCTTCTTTAAGCAACGTATCAAAACTGACAGATTCTATCGCTTGATCAGGTTTAGTGTAAGCAGAAACCTGGAATGAAAAACGATTTACTAAGACATGATATCTAGGTTAACTTTAAATAATGGCATTCATCAATTAAAGGTCAAATCTGTGCCTAGCCAGGAAGGCATTTTTATGTGCAATACAAGAGCAGAACGAAAACCAAAGTGGCTCAGTACATGAGGTGCCAGCTCTGTGGATAAGCCATCGGCTCAGGGGTTAAGCCACCAGCTCAGTTGGTAAGACAATGTCTCAGTGGGTAAAGACCCACCTCTGTGGGTAAACCGCTGGCTCGGTGGGTTCTGACTCGGTGTGTAGGACACTGGCTCATTGATAAGAATCTGTTTTTAATCTGGCCAATGAAGTTCCTCAGGTTTTTCCAGCCTTTTTTCGTCTTGTTGCAAGGGCAAGATGGACTGGACAAGAAAAAAGGTCCCTTGTATAGCCATTGGCAGCATGTTGACGGAACGGGAAAAAAATGCACGATACTGGACATGAGATTCTACTCCTTGTCACATACAAGCTTGGCTCAAATTGATTCAAGGACATATCTTATGATCTAAAGGGCATGCATTAGACCACTAGACCAGCCCACCCATATATCAATCTTCTGGTGTTGTCACAGGATAACCCTGCTCAAGGGACAGGAACGTTGCTTCAGTGAAAGGGTGTAGAAATGCAATGCTTGGCTAAATTGGTTTTTATACGCCCACACTGAAATGTGGACGTATATTGCCGTCGCCCCCGTCCGTCCGTCTGTCGGTACGTCCGTCGGTCCGTCCGTCCATCGTCCACAATTTCTTGTGAACGCTCTAACGCCAAAAGTTATCATCCAATTGTTTTAAAATTGATATATGTTGTTTTCATTAGTGAGATGAAGAAGCATATTTAATTTCAATAACTTCTGTTTATTACGTCTAGAGTTATGGCCCTTGTTTCACTTTGTTGAACCTTGTGAACGCTCTAATGCCAAAAGTTAACATACGATCTTTGTGAAATTTATATGCAATATTTATGTTAGTGAAACGAAGAAGCCTATTGAATTTCAACAATTTCTGTTTATTACGTCTAGAGTTATGGCCCTTGTTTCACTTTATTGAACCTTGTGAACGCTCTAACTCCAAAAGTTATCATCCGATCTTTCTGAAATTTACATGCATTATTTAAATTAGTGAAACGAAGAAGCCTATTGAATTTCAGCGATTTCCGTTTTTTTACGTCTAGAGTTATGGCTCTTGTTTCACTTTATTGAACCTTGTGAACGCTCTAACTCCAACAGTTATCATCCGATCTTTCTGAAATTTACATGCATTATTTAAATTAGTGAAACGAAGAAGCCTATTGAATTTCAGCAATTTCCGTTTATTACGTCTAGAGTTATGGCCCTTGTTTCATGTTATTGAACCTTGTGAACGCTCAAACGACAAAAGTTATCAACCGATCTGTATGAAATTTATATGCATCATTTAAATTAGTAAAACAAAGAAGCCTATTGAATTTCAGCAATTTCAGTTAATCATCTAGAGTTATGGCCCTTGTTTCACTTTGTTGAATCTTGTGAATGCTCTAATGACAACAGTTATCATCCGATCTGTTTGAAATTGATATGCATGATTTAAATTAGTGAAACGAAGAATCCTATTGAAGTTCAGCAATTTCCTTTAATTACGCCATGAGTTATGGCCCTTGTTTCACTTTGTTGTACCTTGTGGTTGCTTTAACGACAAAAGTTATTATACTATCTGTATGAAATTTAAAGGTATCGTTTAAATTAGTAAAACGAAAAAGCCTATTGAGTTTCAGCAAATTTCCGTTAATTACATCTAGAGTTATGGCCCTTGTTTCACATTGTTGAATCTTGTGAACGCTTGAACGACAAAAGTTATCACCCAATCTGTATGAAATTCATATGCATCATTTAAATTAGTGAAATGAAGAAGCCTATTGAATGTCAGCAATTTCTGTCAATTACTTCTAGAGTTATGGCCCTTGTTCTACTTTGTTGAATCTTGTGAACGTTCGAACGACAAAAGTTATCATCCGATCTGTATGAAATTGATATGTATTATTTGAATTAGTAAAACGAAAAAGTCTGTCGAATTTCAATAATTTCTGTAGATTACTTCCTGAGTTACAGCCCTTGTTTTAGTTTTTAGAACCTTGTGAACCCTCAAACGACGAAAATTATAATGTCATCTGTATGAAGTTGTCTATTAAATGCCCCCTAATTACCTACAAAAGAACAAATATACGACAACTCTTGTCGACCGCTCGGACGATTTAGCTGCTGTGGGCGTATGTTTAGTTGCCTGGCAACCTATCTTTATATAATGTAGGCCCTATTTAGCTCAGGAATCCATAGCCCTAAAGCTAATTCAAGTATTCAATAGAATAACTTACCTCTATGACTGGTTGTGTTTCGTAGAGCTTAAACAAGATATCAGCTGCTGCAAAATTTCTAGAGCCTATCTTACTAAGAGACACTGCAGGTTCGGTTCCAACATCTTCCTTCTGTATCTTCATCTGACATCTTAAAGTAAAAAAAGAGAGAAATGGGGATTAACACTCACACAAAACAAACCAACATTTTTGGACTGACACCCAGGAGGTTTGACTCAATGAAAGATCTTATGAGCTTGGACCACTCAACCACCCCTAAAAACAAAAGAAGAGTAACAAGCAAACTGAACATTTCAAAATTTTGATCAATGGGACAAGACTAGATCTTAAAGCTACAATTTCATATTTGTTAAGTTATATTTTTAAAATTTATTAAAATAAAGCCTTAAAATAGATGGTATCCATACACAGTCCTACCTTGTTAAAGAATAATCCTATTAATCCTATAATTCACTATTGCCAGCTGCGAAATTGGCAAAATTATCATTTTCGAATTCCAACATTTGAAGATAGCTAATGCATGGAGGCAATAGGAAAACAAGGGAGGTAATTGTGTTATTATTTCCTGTGTCAATGATTTTTAAGGGTGGGAAATAATGCCCATAGTCGTATAATAGTGAGTTGATAACCTATTGAGCAAAAGACATAGAAATAATTATGTTTTGACTTTCATAGAAAATATGAAATTCTGGCTTGAAGGCTAAGGCCAGGAAACACAGCCTAGGTCTTACAGTTAAGGCCGGAAGACGCAAGACTACAGTAGGTCTTAAGAGATTCAAGACTAGGTCTTAAGAGACACAAGACTAGGCCTTACAGTTGAGGCCAGAAGATACAAGACTAAGCCTTACAGTTGAGACCGGAAGACACAAGACTAGGCCTTAAGATTATGGCCGGGAGACCAGACTAGGCCTTAAGGCAACTTACCTGAATACACGATCATCATTGTCAAAAAACTCCCATTCCAACAACATATTGTTGACAAAACATGAATGTTGTAAAATATAGAAACCTTGAACTTTACGATCTACTATCCAACTGACGTCCTCAAAGACAACGATATCCTTGGCTCTGAACCTGTGCTTCTGCTTCTGTTATGACAGACTGTTCGACACCATCTAAGATGTTGCCATGTTCAACATTCATGGTGGTCAGTCGTTCAACCACCATATTATAACACAATGACTTAGCAGTTTTTTTGGAAACTGAAACACCTGCACCTTGTAGTATGTTGTCAATAAAGTACATTCCCTTATGATAAACTTTCCCTGATTCAGCTTTACAACTCTCTACATCATATCGACAACGGACTCGACATTTAGCCACAGAGGCCGCCAACTCCATTTTGCTGACTGAATTGGTTGAAGCATATTTAGGATTGGTTAGAATATCTTGGATCTGTTTCAAAATAGATGGTGGGGGTAACTCTGCAATTGTTTCTTTCTCCATCTTAGCAACGGTCGAGTTAAAATTCTCCAGTTTCTCCTTGATAACTTTTGGGGTCATATCATCCTGGTTCAAAATTTCAGTGACAGGAAGGGTACGATAAAGTTCCACCGCCTTCTTGAAACATGACAGTTTGATTTCTTTCTTGTTGATGCCGATAGCTCTGGCTAGGAACACACCACATCAAAAAATCTGGTCTAATTCCAACTTTACAACTCATCAGAGAATTCTCAAACAACTAAAATGAAATAAAATAGGATTTAATGGGAAAGAGAGGAAAATGGGCTTTATTGTTCACTCGACACTAGGTCATTTCGGGACTAACATATAGTTCATTTTATTTCATTAGGGGTCTTTAGCAGTGGAAGGAAACACTGAGGACATGGAGAAAACGCACGAGGTTGAACAGACGACCCTACTCCTTGTCACGTACAAGCGGGTAATGACGCATTAATGCTTCGACCACCCAAACTCGCCCAACTGGTCTTATGTAGATGGGCAAATAAAAGAATTTTATACGTAATACATGCTTGAATAAAAATAAAAATAAAAATAAAGCAGAATCTGTGTTTTTAATGAGATTATTGTGAAAAATATTAAACATGCATTATGCAAGAGCTAAACCTGTCAATTTCAGGTCTTTCTTTAGGCCTAAAATCTTATCTAAATTATTAATTAGACATTAATTAACTTATCCAGACCATAATAAACTCCCGATGTCAAGGCTAGCCTTCGATGTCGACTGGATTACAATTCTATATGCTGCTATCGCTCATTGATAATTAAATCACAACAATAGACAATCAAGACTATTAGTTTCGAGGCTAGGCGAAACTTTCATCCGCTTAGTTTTCGGTTCATAGTGGACCAATTTGACTGACATTTTTAGCAAATTCCCTTTACATTATGTAGTTTTTAACTATTATAGTGAGAACTGCTAACTCGTTATCTTATCTCCATCTCCCATAATGTATCTTTAATAAATAAAACCTCACCATAATTTCATTGATTACTTTTTTTTCACTTCGTAAAAACATTGAAAGTCGTCGAATTTTTTCTGCTAGCGGCAATTTTGTGGCATCGATTGGTTCTGGGTTGGGTGTTTTGTGTACAGCGGCAGCAGGCAGACCTTTGTTATCAATGGGGCGTGTCTGGCAGTCTGGTAATGTTTCCCATTTCTTCTCTGTAAATAAACCATTAAAAAATGTAGTTTGTTAAAGCTGCATTTAGTAACTGTATTGAATAAACCATGACTAATATACCGGTGTATTAAATACAAGTTTTTTCACAGTTCATTTCTGACGACGTCTTGAAAAGTGTTCTCTTGTATTTATCAAGCCACAAACAAAATAAACTTCTAAATAACTTGTATTCTGAATATTGTTTAGTGCCCAGGTTCACTTTGCTCATTTCTGTTGATCAGCGGCTGGGGAGGGGGGGGGGAATAGGTTTTACATTTAGATTCAGAACGAACATGATTCTTCTACAGCCATCCTTTTTACAGTGGTTACAACTTAAACATACAGGTTTCAAGTTTAACTGACTACCATGACTAGAGAATAGAATAACGTGATTTATAAACGAATTAACAGAATTTTAAAACAAAATTAAAAGCTTTTGAGCAGTAGTACGGTAAAAATTATGTGTGTCAAAAAGATAAGCACCACCGTTTAAAATGAGGTCTGTTTGATATTTAACCATCAACAATAAACTCAGATGGTTTTTATTTGGAACCATGTAATATCCATCACAAAATACTTCCAGCATAAGTCTTGCCACTCCAAGAAGAATAGTGTCAGGTTCCTTTGGTACCATGGTACTAATCAAACAAGAGGTGTTGAGGACGTGATCCAAGTGAGAGAGGGGGGGGGGTTGGATGGCTGAATGGTTAGCGTGCGCGCGCTGTATCATAAAGTCTGTCATTGAGTCAACTGGCGTGGTTTCGAATCCCCGGTTGTACGTGACAAGGAGTAGGGTCGCCTGTCCAACCTCGTGGGTTTCCTCCGGGTCCTCCGGTTTTCCTCCCACAGCTAAAGATCCCTACGCGCAAGCGAATTATGGAAATAAAATTGAACCATATGTTAGTCGAGTGGACGTTAAACCCCATTTCTCTCTCTCTCTCCAAGTGAGAGAGGGATACACATGACGATGGTTATCACTACTCTTGTCTGTAATCCTCATCCTTTTCCTGACCAGATCATCTAGACTAATGGACTCCTATATTTTTCGAAATCCTCAATTAAAAAATATCTATTACTTAAATGACCAAATATTCCTGTCTTGTTTTACTTTAAGGTGGTCCTTAACCTTTTGTCAGTTGTATTTATTTTTATAACTTACTTGCACCACCGGCACTGTTTGCGGGAGTTCCAACACCTCCTATAGAATTCAACTCATTGTTAAAAAATATAATTTGCGGGTCACGGAAAGATAACTCTGTTTGGAAACATGGTTTGGTGTAGAGGAGTAACCGAAGTTGGCCGAGTGAAATCTGCAGCCGGTTGCCGAGTGAAAAATAGAAAGTAACTCATTGAAGATCCAGTATTGTGCACGTTCAAGATGTCTGTTCAATCATTAGTTAGCAAGAAAAAGAAGAGTTTTATAGGATTACCAGCGCCATTGGGTTATGTACCTGGTCTAGGAAGAGGGTAAATATACTGATAAACAAATCCGATAAAAACTGATGACTTCGTGTCACTGCCACTGGATGATATGACACGCTGTTTCAATTTGTTGATAAAGGGAAGAAAGAGAAAGGCAAAAAAAGTGCCCAGTCTTCTGGACTGACCAAAAAAGCCTGCTGTACTTGAATATTACTTATTATGTCATTTGATATAATATATTATATACATTTTATCACATGTTAAGGTCGTTCCCTTTTATATTTGGGTTAAAAAGATGATATTATTTGACTGTATTTTTTTTTATGTGCTGATTTTATTTGTGAAATGATGCATGGGGTACCTGGGTTAGGGGTAGGCCTACTTAACAACTTGATTGTGGGTCTAGAACATTCAGAATTGAAGAATTGTGATCAAGTGACTCAGAATTGGGTCCTACCTGTCACAGTTCTCTGTTTCGATAACTGACGTGATCACAGTGAACTTGTTTCAGCAGTTGACTGTCATGGTTGCTTAGTTTCAAGACTTTATATAGAGACGATGTATTTTCCCCAGAGTAGCCTAGACAGCTGAATTCCCAGAGTACGGTTGTTTGACAGCATGCTCCTGCATCCAATCGGTACACATCTACTGAGTTATTATATTCAAACTCAAAACAGGACAGAACAATCTATACATGTAGGTCTAGGTCACCAGAATTCCCCACAACTAAGTCAGTAAGAGGGATCTTTAAACTTGAGACACTCAACGTATCCCTAGATATACGAACAATCCAACAGCACACCACATATTTACATCCCCCCTACAGTAGTAAAAGATAATATTATATGATATTTATATTTTTCAGTGCTACAGGATTCACAACTCGATCTGATATTGGTCCTGCTCGTGATGCTGATGATGCTACGTAAGTATGATAATATATCCCATTTTTCTTGGTAACATGTTATCTTTTTATTACCAGGCCTCAACGTAATGATGTCAGTTGTACATGACAAAATGTCCAACACTGTTGAACTATTATCTGATGGTTTTAATTTTTTGCCAGACATATATTATAAAGGTATTAATAAATAACAAATCAGAGCCCGACACCAAAGGTATTTTACTGACAAAACCTGAATTTGTGCCCGAAAATGTGTGACAGGTGCCTTATTTGCAGGCTTGGTTAGGGGTTTGGATGGCCGTACGGGTAGCACATACACGCTGTTTCATGATGTCTGTCATTGAGTCAACTGCCATGGTTTCGATTCTCCAGTTGTTCAACAAGGAGTAGGGTCGCCTGTCCAACCTCCTGGGTTTTCTTTGGGACCTCCGGTTTCCTCCCATTGCTAAGACCCCTACGCGCAAGCGAATTATTGTATGTTAGTCTCTCTCTTTCTCTATCTCTCTCTCCCTCTCTCTCCCCCCCCCCCCAGGCTTGGTTGTTACATAGTTGATATGAAGAACCAGAATATAATTATCCTGAAGCAGCTTTCGACTAAACATTAAAATCTGTTTTCCAATCAAATTAAGCAAATTTCATGTTCAGCGACCATCTGTTAGAGTAATGTATTTTAGCTTTATAAAAAATTGGTCAGCAGATTCTGTAATCACATCAAGCTTTTTAAACCGCAAACCTTTTCCAATTTAAACTCATGAAAAATTGTTTGTACAAACATAAATGTCCAGATTTTAAAAATACCATGTATTGAATTTTATAGAGATGATCGTCATCCTGTTCCGATTAAAAAGAGTCGAAATCAAGAAGAGGAGGAAGAAGAAGATTTAAGTGAAGCTAATTTTGATGAGGTGAGAATTCAAACTGTTTACTGATCAAACGGTTGATTTGAAATCTGATGAATTAATCACAAGAGTTGACATTGATTTTATACCTAGCATGGATGACATTGCTGCCGGTGGTCATATCTGTAGGCCTAACAACCTCACCCTCCTTGTTTCAGTGCAGGGACGTGCGATTTCTCAGTGAGTATGGTGCTGGCTCAGTACCCAGGAGTTTCTAGATATGAGTCACTACCTCAGTATTTTCTAGTCTGCCTTTTATTTGGCTGGTTGGAGAACCGGCACACACATAAAAGAACTCTAGACACCTGGATGAAGAATAAGCGAAAACGCCACTATCCAGGCTAAATTTCCCCTTAGCACACTGTGTGGTATATACCGTCTCCATTAGCGCAGATGGTGCAGAAAAGTAGGACTTAAAACACCATTACATTTCAAGTGCGTTGTTTTAAACTCCATTTCATTTATTAAATTCTCTGTGTTCAGTTTGCTGGTTACGGAGGAAGTTTATGTAGTAAAGATCCATATGATAAAGATGATGAAGAAGCAGACGCTATTTACGAAGCAGTTGATAAACGAATGGATGAAAAGAGAAAGGAAAGAAGAGAGGAGAAATTACGACAAGAATTGGAAAGATTTCGTCAAGAAAGACCAAAGATTCAGCAACAGTTTTCTGATCTGAAGGTATTGCTTTCATGGATGAATTTGTTAATTGTTTTTTGGAAAATCAAATTAACCTATCCACATCAATCAGTATGACGTATAAAGACGATATCAACCAGTCACATTATAGGGGTAGGGTTGCCTAATGATCTAACACATGCACTTTAGATCACAAGGTCTGTCATTGAGTCAAGTGATGTGGATTAGATTCCCTGGTTGTACGTGACAAGGAGTATGGTCGTCTGTCGAACCCTAAGGGTTTTCGCCAGGTCCTCCATTTTTTCCCCCCACTGCTAAAGACCCCAACATGCAAGCGATTTATGAAAAAAAATTGAACCATATGTTAGTCCCAAAATGGTCTAGTTTGTGTGGTGTGGCCATTAAACTCCATTTTCCTCTTTCTCTTACATGTAGTTAATTCAATAAAGTTTATGTCTTAAAATCCAAATATAACTTTATTGACAACAAAATATGAAATGTGAATTTTCTGTCAAAACTTCAATTTTTATTGATCTGAGAGAAGTTTTCACAAAGCTTATAAACCTAGGTTGTCAGGGAAAGACATATAATTCACGTTTTTGTCAAGCCGGCTTGACTATCTCTACATGTACTCTAGATGATCTCCTGACTTGGTTTCAGTTGGATTAAAAACAGGCCCATCAAATGATTTTAGGAAAGATTTAACCATATCCTATCACCAGAGGATGTCAAATGTTTAATTCTCAAGTCATCATATGTTTGTAATTTTGATATTTTGTAGAGAGATTTGTGTTAAGGCCGTGTTGAATTGATTCCTTGTTTCTCCTCGCCCGCGCGCTTAGGTCGAGGACCCCGAAAATCGTGCACTTACGTTTTTAACACAAAAAAAAATATTCAAAAAATTACGTTAATAACATCTAAAAAAAATTCTACCAAACATCAGAAGTCAATTCTCGTTGTTTATTCCTCGTTACGAACTAAATAAGTAAGTGCAGGATGGCTGCACTACACGCAAAACAAAAATCTACAAGATAAACCTGCGGACAAGACAGAAAATAGGCATTGCACCAAATAAACAAATATCAAATCACGTGAATGGATCCGGTTGATAATACACATGTAGGGGCCCGCATACTATGGAATAAGTTACACTGTATATGATTGGATGAATTTCGCAAAATGGCGCGTGTAGCAGTCATTTCGGCTGATGAGAAAGCATATTATAAACTGTAAGACAGTCGCTAATATTCAACCGGGAACCTGAATAATCAATTTTTTCATTGGTTAAAATTATAACACATGTCATTATTATTCAAGTATTACCCAATCATATCTTGTGTAATAAATAACGCACGCCTTACAAAATGGTGAGCTATGCCGGGACATAGGTAAATTCGCGTACCGGTCGGCCTAATTTATTGATGTTCAAGGAAATAATAGTGGTCCCGTTCGTTCGTTAAACTCCAGAAACGAACGAACGGGACCACTATTATTTCCTTGAACATCAATAAATTAGGCCGACCGGTACGCAAATTTACTTATCTCGACTCGACTTTGGTGGGTATTCCCAGCACTTTCACTTTCGATGATATTGTCGAAACCATCTATAACTCAACAAGCGAATTAAATTTCGTCTAACTGGAATGTTTCCATTGTATTGTAACACAAGAATACGGAAAATTTATATCAAAATATGGTTATTTCATTTTTTTAAAAGTTAAACAAAGAAGCCACTTGTTACCAAATTTTAGTTTGTTATTAAATTTATTTAATTAAATAAATATTACCTGTGTTTTTATTCTAACCAATAATATAACTAGATTATTTATAATATTATTAAAAATGGTACACAACCCTCAGACTATATAGGTATTATGCCAGACCACTTTGTGTTTTGAAACCCACTTTGTGTTGTGTTTACCGCACTACCGCACATGATTGCCAGAGTGGTGGCAGGAGAAACAAGGAATCAATTCAACACGGCCTAAGTGAAATTGTATGATTTTGATATTTTATAGAGAGATTTTGTGTTGATTGAAATTGTATGATTTTGATATTTTGTACAGAGATTTAGTGTTGAGTGAAATTGTATAATTTTAATATTTTATAGCGAGATTTAGCACAAGTTAGTTCAGATGAATGGTTAAGTCTACCAGAAGTAGGAGATGCCAGAAACAGAAAACAGAGGAATGCACGAACAGAAAAGTAAGAAATATAGTACTCTCGGTTCAGTTATATTTACTAGTCTTGACTGACCAGCAGTGAAATACACTAGCTGAGGATGTTATTTATCAGTCAATTTACATGTCACATAAAATCTTAAAGAATTTAGCAGTAAAAGACCAACAATAGCCTATATCAACAATACAGCCAAACAGCTGAACAATACTTGCATATGGTACAATCTAAGCACAGAAAAACAGGAAGTATGCAAAAATAAAACTTTAAAATATCAAGATAATGTATCTTGTGGTTGTTTTTTTCTTTAGGTTCACACCTGTACCAGATAGTGTTTTAGCCAAGGCAGCAGCAAGTTCTGGTATGAATGCTAATTTATCAGCTCAAGATCAGGTGAGTGGTATAGATGAGACGTAGAATTATCTTGTTGACTCTAATAAGATACTCTGGGATAATCAACTTAAAAACTAGCCGTTGTACCTTGCCACGTCCTCTGTCTTGCATCACTAGCAAGAGGACACCACACTGCAAAATCATTTCAAAACCAGAGAATGTTTCATTTTCCCGAATGAATTGATAGTGAATGTTCCCCATAAAATTTATTATATATTGAAGCACACAGTAAATAGTAATGTTATATTTTATTTATAGAAATTTGGAGGATTGACGTCGCCATTTGGTACCATTACTCCTGGTTTCTCCACATCTAGTAGTGATATCGACATGAGGAAGATTGGACAGGCGAGAAATACCTTGATGGATATCAAACTAACACAGGTATAGTAGATCAGACATCTTATTTACAACCAACTTAGTTTAAGGATTCAGCATTTTCATTGGATTAGAGTTGAAATCCTAGTGTAAATGAAATGAAAAGGGGTTTAACGTCCTACTGTTCTGCTCCGAACTGGGCTAATGAAGACGGGTAAAATCCTAGTGTAAACTTCAGCTGTCAACTAATGAAAAGGCTGCATTTGTGTTGACCAAATTTAAAACACCATTCAGAGAGTATATGAAATGGAATGGAGTTCAAATTCCTACATTTTTGCACCAACTGGGCTTATGAAGATGTGGCATGCCCCAAGGCAGCAGCTCGATGGCCTACTCTTTATTTTGAATTCCATCAGCCAAGGGATTTTTTACATGCACGCTAATGTTTTTTGTCCCATCCAAATGACTAGAAGCTGTAATTTTATGGATTTATTACTTTTTAGTTTATTACATACATATATATTATTACTGATGTTATATATTACAGGTATCTGATTCTGTGACAGGTCAAACGGTTGTTGATCCTAAAGGTTATTTAACTGATCTACAGTCCATGTTACCATCACATGGTGGTGATATCAAGTATGTTTATTATATAATATTATATCATGGCACACAATAAAAATATTTTATATTTGAGTTTAAGGAAATGATATATCTGTAATTATGAAAATATTTAGCCCTTATATTAAACCAAGTACATTTCTAAAGTCCTGAATCACTTGCTGGAGTAAAGATCAACTTATGACCATATTTGTATTACAGGTGTGCGATATATAAGTTAAAATATACTCAATAAAAAAACTAATAAAATGATGTGCCTGTTCATTCAGCACTGCTACAGATATTATATTTGATATATATTTGTAATTACAGTGATGTAAAGAAAGCCCGTCTGTTGTTAAAATCTGTCCGTGAAACTAACCCGAAACATCCACCAGGTGAGTCAGTATATCTTGTAAACAATAAGGATCCCAGGTGTCTCCAGGTGAGTCAGTATATCTTGTAAACGATAAGGATCCCAGGTGTCTCCAGGTGAGTCAGTATATCTTGTAAACGATAAGGATCCCGGGTGTCTCCAGGTGAGTCAGTATATCTTATAAACGATAAGGATCCCAGGTGTCTCCAGGTGAGTCAGTATATCTTGTAAACGATAAGGATCCCAGGTGTCTCCAGGTGAGTCAGTATATCTTGTAAACGATAAGGATCCCAGGTGTCTCCAGGTGAGTCAGTATATCTTGTAAACGATAAGGATCCCAGGTGTCTCAGTGAGAAAGATGTTGGCTCGCTAACCTGGAGGTCCGAAGTTCGATCTCTGCATTGGCCGAAAATTAATCGAGATTTTCTGGCTTAGTTCTGCCTTGTCAGTGATGCAGTACGGATGGCCTGGCAAGGGACAATGTATAGTCATTCAGATGGGATTATTTTTTTTTGATTGGTCGATAAAAGGTTCAAATCATAACCTTTAAAAATGCTATACCCTTCAAGATGAAATGGTAACCTTTTGACTAACCAGGAGTTATATAATTGATTGAATTATTTGCAGCGTGGATTGCGTCTGCTCGTTTGGAGGAAGTAACAGGTAAAGTGCAGGCGGCGAGAAATCTCATTATGAAAGGCTGTGAAGAATGTCCTAAATCTGAAGATATTTGGTTGGAAGCTGCTAGACTAATGGTAAGCTGTAATATCAATACTACAACAAATAGAGAGTATCAATGTGAACTTATCAAATAACATGTTGTATTAAGCATTGCAAAAAGAGTAAGCACAACACCCATCACTGATAACAGCAAGATGGAGTGATGGCTTGGATGTGAAATTTAGTAACTTAACGTAAGTCGTTAGTGAGTAGAACATGACCTTGGTGCCAGAAAATCTTTTACAAAACAGAAAATCTTTTACTAAACAGAAAATCTTATACAAAACAGAAAAACCTTATGCAAAACAGAAAACCTTGTAAAAACAGAAAATCTTATACAAAATGGAAAATCTAACCCAAAAATATATTTTTTTTTGTAGCCTGGAGATCAAGCGAAAGCTGTAATTGCCCAATCAGCTCGTCATTTACCCAATTCTGTTAAAATCTGGATAAAAGCAGCAGAATTAGAAACCGAATTAAAAGCCAAGAAAAGAGTTTTTAGAAAAGGTGAAGTACATCTTTTGTTTGACAAAATGATTGATTACTATACATGTATGTCTATTTGGCCAAACACTCATTTCAATGCCCAACCTCGTGGGTTTTCTCCGGGTCCTCCGGTTTCCTCCCACTGCTAAAGACCCCTACGTGCAAGCGAATTATGTAAATAAAATTAAACCATATGTTATTCCCGAAATGACCTAGTTTGTGTCGAGTGGACGTTAAACCCCATTTCTCTCTCTCTGTCTCATTTCAATGCAATCATGTATGACAATATATACAGCTGGAAAATATTCAGATCAGTCAAATAACTTGACAAAGAGAGAGTAGTTGTATTTTGACTGGCTCTTTGCCATGTTGAGTGTACAATGACCCACAGTTTCTCACAGCAGATCACGGCTGAGGGAGTTTGATCACATGATTGTGACTTACCTTGTGATGGGGAGGGGGAGTGGTCTGCCATTGAGTCATAGTTTCAATCCCTGTCTAACCTTGTGGGTTTTCCCTTGGTTCTATGGTTTCCTCCCAATCGCTAAAGATCCCTGCACGATAAACAAATTATCTAAATAAAGATCTACCATATGTTAGTCCCACAATGACCTCGCCTCGTAAATTTTTCTCACTCGTGTATTTGTTGTTTGTAGCATTAGAACAGATACCAAACTCTGTAAAACTATGGAAGACAGCCGTAGAACTAGAAGAAGAAGAAGATGCTAGAATCATGTTGAGTCGGTCTGTAGAATGTTGTTCTACAAGTGTTGAGGTATTCTATTCTTTAATCATGTTGAGTCGATCTGTAGAATGTTGTTCTACCACCATTGAGGTATTCTATTCTTTAATCGTTTGGACCCAGAGGGTGCTCGATTGGTAGTCCGAATATTTTTTCGAGTGACTTAGAATTGAGTTCTGTCAATCCTGATAACAGACATTGTGTGAGAATTATCGCAATATAATCAAATGTTAATGGTGGTTGACCGAGATACTATTTTATTTAGTGGGTGCTTGCCTTGTAAGGAAAGCTGTCTAGTCGTTCGGATGGGACGGAAAACCGAGGTCCCGTGTACACATTGGCGTGCACGTAAAAGATCCCTTGGCAGTTGGAATTCGATATAAGAGTAGGCCGTAGTGCCGCTGTCCGGGCAAAATTTCCCTCATAGCACACTGTATGGCGTATGCCCGTCTTCATTAGCCCAGTTCGGAGCAAAACAGTAGGACGTTAAACCCCCATTTCATTTCATTTCATTTCATTTGCTTGCCTTGTAGCCTGGGAGGTTGGATGGCCGAATGTTTAGCATGTGTGCGCTGTATCATAAGGTCTGTCATTGACTAAACTGGCGTGGTTTCGATTCCTTGGTTGAACAAGACAAGGAGTAGGGTCGCCTGTCCAACCTCTGGGTTTTCTCCGAGTTTTCTCAATAAGGGAATTATTGAAATAAAATTGTACCATATGTTAGTCGTAAAATGACCTAGTTTGTGTCGTGTGGATGTTAATTCCATTTCTCTCTGTTTCGCACTCAAGCCTGAAATCCTAATTGTTTTTATTCAATTGCCATCTTTCTTCAGATTGTTTTTATTTATTTCTGGAATGTTCTGTCGAGTATCCCTTGCTTCAGGATACAATATATATAGTAACAGAAGAAGTGGTATTAGGTGTTCTAGATAGAGTACCAACCTTGCGGGTTTTCTCTGCGTCCTCCGGATTCCTCCCACTGCTATAGACCCCAACGCGCAAGCGAATTGTTGAAATAAAAAGATTAAACCATATGTTAGTCCCGAAATGACCTAGTTTGTGTCGAGTGGACGTTGAACCCCATTTCTCTCTCTCTCTCTCTCTAGAAAGAGTACGCATACACTGTCCCCATACAACACCTGTCACCTTATTACAGCTGAAAGGAAAGACGGAAGTGTGTAGGCCTTAAGACTGAATAAAGTTGGGGGCAGATGTAAAATAGTTTTATTCTTTGAATTATATTGATCTATATGTGTTATTATTGTAGTTATGGTTGGCGTTGGCCAGATTAGAGACGTATGAAAATGCTCGTAAAGTTTTGAATAAAGCGAGAGAAAGTATTCCGACAGATAGACAGATCTGGATCACGGCCGCGAAGTTAGAGGAAGCTAACGGTAATATAAATATGGTGGAAAAAATCATAGATAGAGGTTTGTACTTACTGTCAGATATAACTTTTGTTGTCTACTAGCCTATGGGTCATGTGATCTCGAGGACATCTCCCGGCATGCAGGAGATCTAATACAGAGTATGACATGCCACAATAGAGCACGAGTTACATTGGGTTTTAATGTATGATATGATATATGATGTGCAATAAATAAATTATACACTTATCTATTTAACACTTATGCTGTTAGGTTGGGTGTTCGATTAGCACAGTTTAGGAGCAGAACAATAGGACTGTTAAACTCCTTTCATTTATTTATTTCTTATGCTGTTAAAGATATGAAATCAAGTTTGTACTTAACTTCCAGTGCTATTCTGTTAATGAAATGAAATACGGTTTGACACCTTACTTACTTTGCTGCACCAACATGCAGTGTGCTATTCAGGGAAATGTTGCCCCGATGTGCTTTTATTTCCATTACCAACTGTCAGGTGATCTTGCTGTCAGTGTTATGCTGTTTCTTGCCAGGCCTTCCAAGGAACTTTCTCAGCCAAGAGCTGATCGAAACTGGGAACTACTGGTTAGTGAGCCTGCATCCTAATCACTGCAGCTTCCTTGTTATTGATAAGTATAAGACATTAGAAATGAAATAAAATGGGGTTTAACGTCCTACTGTTCTACTCTATTGGGCTAATGAAGACGAGCATATGCCATATGAGAGATATTTTACCTGGACAACGTCGCTACAGCCTACTCTTATTTCAAATTCCAACTGTCAAGGGTTCTTTTACATGGGACCTCTGTTTTTTTCCCATTTGTATGCCTGTACGTTGTCCCTTGCTAAGCCCTTTTTCCTACACCACTGACAAAGGGGACCCATGCCGGAAAATCACAACGACCTTTCTCAGTCAATGCAGGGATTGAACACGGGACCTCCGGGTTAGCGAGCCAACGTCTTATACTCACTGTGCCACCATGACTCTCTATAAGACAATGACACATGGGTTCCAGAAATTATGAGAATATGAGTTATTTGGTTCCCAGGTGACTTATCTGTGAGCTGGCCAACACAAATCGCGATTTCTTAAAATATATTCTTGCCCAATTACGTTACTTCCATGTACTAATGACCTTATTAAATTATAATCATCCTTTATTATCACGAACCACACAATAATGTAAGAAAATCTAATCTCTGGACTTCTGTTGTTTTTTTTAGCGTTGAATTCTTTGAGGGCTAACATGGTAGAAATAAATCGTGAACAATGGATAAAAGATGCGGAAGATTGTGAGAAGTCTGGAAGTATTATAACTTGTCAAGCCATCATGTAA